ATGATGCACAATCTCAGAGCTTGAATCTCTGCGTCGCTTCATCAGGAGACAGGCGGAAAATTTGCATTCGGGCACGAATTTTCAGGACCCCGGATCATACGCAGATATATAGTCATCACTCTTTCGTTGGCTGGAAATCATCCATCGCTAATGATGCCCAAAAGTCTACAGCCTCTCACCATTCACTGATGGGATTCACAATCTCTTCATAAAACTTATTGCGCATCTTCCACGGCCTATTGCTAGGTAGACACACGAATGAATCGAATCCATCGGATTTCGCGTGCAATAACTATCCGCGATAGTGACTCCGCAACCTGGTGACACCGGCTGATACCAGGCGTGTCCAGCTCGGGAGCGGTCCGTGTATCGCGTGATGCGATATATTCTTGTCGTGTGCGACCCACTGGTCCCATCTTCCACGAAATCCATTTCACATCAAAGTTACTCTCGGTAGCGGGACCGAGTTCACACAAGGAACACGCCGTGTCTTACACGGTGGAGCCGCTCCATGATCGGTGGAGAGGCTCCACCGTGGAGCACCGTAGCTATGAAGACTACTTCACGCGTGCAGATCGTTGTGCTTCAAATCGGAGACTCCAAGTGAATCGGCTTCATGTTCATCTCAAGCATCAATTTGATCTTCATCGTTCTGAGCTTCCACAACAACGTGCTCGGCGATCTTCACGGTCTATTCTTCACGAGCAAGCCTTGGCACACCGCCTTCCTGGTTCTCAACTTCAGGGGGGACAACACTGTCATCATGGTGGTGGCAAATGCAAATGTCGGTCCGCTGAGAGCCCACTGGGAATATGTGCCAGGCACGGGTATCCTCGATGTGTTCGCTATTCACCTTACTCAATCGCAGTACGAAGATGTTTCTGGCCTCTTCCCATTGGACTACGACTCGCACACACTATATGGCGTTCTCATGCCTTTCCCGGGTCTCACTGGTAAAATTCTTGTCATGAGCCATGGGCTTGGTATGTATAATGGACAGCCTTGAGCAAAGTGATGAATTTTTACTTTAATTATTCACCCAACATGACACTACTTTTCTGCCGTCGGGTACTGACTATTGTACTCACTATTATATCACTATCTGTGGGGATGTGGTCACAGAGAAGTGTTCCCTCGTTGCTCAGAACAACTTGCTTTGGCTCATAGAGCATTTGCGGTTAACTTTTTTATTTGGTGGATTATCAATCTAGTCGTGTGGGTATTTGATTAGATTGCTCATCAGAGACGGTATCGTTCAGCATCAACTTTTCCATATCATGCGTATTCTGTAATGTTTAAGTATCATTAGTACTGAGGAAGACGCGAGCAAGTGGCTACTTATACACACAATACATTGTCGATTCGGCGTTGCTCCCCGAGATGAACTCCAGGTGGAAGCCGAATATTTTGCACTTCATTCCAAAAGGGTGAAGCCGGATCGACTTGAGCCCGGCTTCTTGAGCCCGGCTCAACTTGACCCGCTCAAGTTGAATTGCTATACTGTAGACAACTGCGATATGCCCAAATTGGTGAGTTCCAGTCTACACTGTAGGCTGTAGGCCCTACAGTCGGGCAGAATCGCTCAGGATTCTCACCTCAAAAGTTTATCTTGACGATGCGATGATCCCCTCAGTATGTGAGAATCATCGCGTTGACAGCATCCATATCGCTGATATGGTGTCGAAAAGGTTCGTTTGGTCAGGAGGGCGATCGCGCTGACAGCTGGGGGCTGTCACTCACACTCCCTATTATCGTTCTCTGAGCTAGGCACTGCCTTTGTAGGGTCTCATTCTCCGGCCTCAAATGTTCCGACTGAGAATAGCGCCCTTCAGAAGCTAGTCGAGCTCTTCGATAGACGACTGGAACCTCTTTGAGTCCAGAATCTGGACGCGAATAGCTATTGAATCACTATTACTGATACAACTAGTATAAACTCTTCTACATGCGAGGCACAACTTGTGGTGGCAGACACGCTATTAAATTCTTGTTCTCACAAGTGATGTGTTTGCAATACTCACAAATGGATAAGAGTAAATGAGTGCCATGCGCCCGTGTATAATTCCGGTGTTATGGATGTAGTGGTGGGGGTTTCTACTTCACAAGAAACGCTCCTTGAATTTAGGAACAAGGAACCTTATACCTCACACGACGTGCTTTTACTACAATTGCACCTCATGCCCCTAATTAAAGGTGTACCTCCTGGGCCCCAAAAAGGAGCGCGAGGAGCATCTTTACATATACCAACGCGCATGAAAAAATCGACGCAGTGTTTGAATAAAGCTGAAAATAAAGTTATTGCCGTTGAATAAAACGAAATCAAAAACCCTACCATCAACTCGCTTGCGAACAATCGGTCTGACCGATGACCAATTCGGTCATCACCATAATTCGCTAAAACGCTAAGGCAAAGATGCAATAAAAATGGTTGACACACGGATAAAACATCCGCGGGTCAGATGCATGGTCTAGTGGATTAAGCATCCGGGAATGGTAAGGCGGGTGCGATGGGGTGCCATAAAGTACCTCCCCCCCGAGTGACAGTCTTACGGCGCCTTACGTAAGGACCTTAAGGAGAGGCTCAAAAATACCTTCTATGAAATCACCTTTCATGAGGATGCCCTTGTAGAGGGAAGGAGCCTTCACCTCACCTTACTCCTAACCTCCTCTTCCAAATCGGAAAGATGTGAAGGCGCCTGGCCATGAAGCCGTAAGATACCTTACAATTTTCGCTCCTTATGAGAGTTCGTAAAATAAGATCCTGATTAGATCTATCGTTGGCCTCATCCACTTCACTCATGTTAACTGTGGCTACTTCCCGTGAGCAAGCTACTTCTGGCCACTTCCAAGTGTACTGTTGTTGAGAAGTCGTGCGAGGCGAACACTACTGGCTGCCTCTTCCCTGTGATGTTCTTCGACGGTCGAATTCGACTTGTATCCCGACAGGCAGTTTATCCTGTAGGATGACTATCAGTTCAACATGGACATCTAAGATGTCGATGTTGAAAACCGAGATGTCACATCTTATATGAGGGAAGGTATGAAGCATACACTTATGCATTGGTGCTGGCCGCCCAGTACTAATGGGACATTTCGGGAGACTAGCAGTTCGGAATATCGGTTATTAGTTATGAGATTTACGGCTGTGATACGATCTGAGGGGTTGTGACAGTTCACCGTGTAGTGTCGCTTGTGGTGATAAGTTCGTTACGTCACCTCCATGCAAGTCGCGCGCGCCCATCTGCGTACAGCACGTGCACGTGTGCCCAGCAATTGCAAGTAGTCAAGTTACCGGTCAGTTGTTGCTCTCAGACTAGTGTTCTTACATTTTACCAATGTCCAAGACTAGGTCCGAGCTCTATGCGACTACTATGGTCGCCAACCCCAACGGTTGCTCTGATTTTCGAGGGGTTGCCAACATCGTGATGACCGCCGTGGGTGTCGGTGTATTGGCCTTACCTAACGCTGTGGCCTTCGGTGGTTGGGTTGCTGCTCCCCTACTACTACTGTTGGCCTGGGTCCTCACCCACTACCAAATGTGTCTACTCTGGAAATGCCTTTTCATGAACCCTTCGAGGAAGCCAATGGAGTCCTATGAGGAAATCGGGAGAGTTTGTTTTGGCCGAGTCGGGCAAGTGGCAGTCGCCCTATGCCTCTACGGTGGCATTTTCTCTATCTGCGCCCTTATCATGATTTTACTAGGCAGTTCCCTCCACAACTTGGTGCCCTCGCTGAGCCGATCACTATGGATTGTTATTACTGTGGCATTGATGTTACCCTTTGCATGGTTACCTAGTCTTAAACGTGTTGGAATTATTGCGGCTATAGGTGTTGGCGCTACTGCAGTTGTCGCTGTATCGGTGATTATCGCGGGTGCTCGTGAGGCTGTCAGCTCTGACCACGTCCACGTGCTGGGTCCGCAAGGTGTAGGTGGTCTGGGTTTATCATTCACCAACTTCATGAATAGTTTTACATGTGCGCCGGTGATACCAAGCTTAGTGGTCGAGATGAAGAACCCTGTCACGTTTCCGAGAGTTGCCCTCTGGTCGTTTTTAACGATTACAGTCGTATTTGGGAGCATTGGTTTTGCTGGTTACGCGGGCTGGGGGATCGACATGCTCAAGTTCGATCTGATCGTTGACGCTGTTGCCTCGTCGGCTGGTCGCGGCGATTGGGTAAATTACATAGTTCAAATATCAATTCTGGTAGTGTCATTTACGCATTTGTTGGTTTTATTCGCGCCTTTGGGCAAAGCTAACGATCGTATAGTGTCTCATTTTTTCAAGGGTAAACGTGTGTATTGGACGTTGTCTCTTGTGGGGCGGACGGTTGTATTTCTCGCTGCCATGGGGTTGGCGTTGCTAGTGCCAGGATTCGGCGCGTTATTCAACATCGTTGGATCTACGATAGTAATGTTTTTACAAATTCTCTTTCCCAGTACATTTTTCTTGAGATTGTTGTATCTGGGATCGAAAAATGGCATCGCTTCGCCGTTCACGTCGAAAACACGTGAGAAGGTTCACATTGGTACGGTGGTTGCGTGTATCTGCCTTGGTCTTTTCGGCCTAGTGTTGGGAACATATCAAGCCATTGATGCATTAGCATCGAAATAACTTCCGTAGGTATGCTCTGTACTCCACAAGGTTTTCTTTGTAACACAATTTTACCCGCAAGTTCTGGGGAGGGTTGAGCATGTGTTGTGTTATCTATAGTGCCTATTATAGCGTCCATCGATATGGCTGTTTCAGTGGAGTTTCACAACCCGTTTTACGTGAAGTGGCGTGAAAGTTGGTGATATGCAGTAGTCGTGAAATATATTTATCACTGGTGTATTTCATATCACTAGGGTTAAAAGTGAGTTTATGGGAATTCGTACTATGGTTGGAAGAGTTTTGATATTTTTTAGTATTAGGCCTTTGTGACTTTGTATTAGGCCCCGGGTAGGACATTTTTCTGTCATTAACGTTCCGCTCGCTCTGCAATTCTTGTGGGATAATATGCACATGTTGAAAATTTTATGAGAAAATTTTGGGAAATTTTTACTCTGAATTGGTATATATATTCCTACGAAGAAACTTCTGAGCTCAGCTGAGGAAACCCAAAACATATATATATGTTGTAGTTGTGAAGTAAAATGATGTTATTAATCAATACAGTGTTCGTTGTTCCTGTTACTATGGCAACTCTCAGCAGTGATGAATTGCCCACGAAGTTCGTTATTAATACTAACGGTTGTTCAACATTTCGAGCTACTGCTAATCTGGTGATGACCGCAGTTGGTGTTGGAGTCCTTGCCTTACCAAACGCAGTAGCATTAGCTGGTTGGGTTGTTGGGCCTCTACTACTACTGCTAGCCTGGGCGTTGACACATTTTATGATGTGTTTGTTGTGGCGGTGTATGTATATGAATCCAGAGGGGAGTCGATTTGAATCTTATGAGGCTATAGGACGACGCTGTTTTGGTATTCCTGGGCAAATTGCAGTTGCGGTTTGCTTATATGGAGGTATATTTTGTATATGTTCGCTGATGATAATTCTCATGGGTGATACCATGACTAACCTGGTCCCCTCACTGGGTAGGGTGCCGTGGATTTTGATATTCGTGGGTATCATAGCACCTCTGTCGTGGTTGCCTAGTATGAATCAAATCGGCGTGGTTTCGGCGATTGGTGTCGCTGCTACTGTGGTTGCTACGGTGTTTGTTATTATTGCGGGCGTTCGAGAAGCAGTAAGTGATGACACTCACGTACATTCGTTAGTCCCCCACAGTGTAAGTGGTCTTGGTCTGGCATTTACAAATTTCATGAACAGTTTTACATGTGCTCCAGTGATTCCTGAGTTGATCGATGAAATGGAAAACCCTCGTAAATTCCCAAGAGTTGCTTTCTGGGCCTTTACCATAATTTCTGTACTATTTGGCAGCATCGGTTTCGCTGGTTACGCGGGTTGGGGCGTTGACATGCTGGGCTATGCATCGATCGTTGATGCAGTAGCGGCTTCAGCAGGCCCTGGTGACGCTGTAAACTATGTAGTTCAAATAGCAATCGCCGTTGTCTCTGCCGCACATTTGTTGGTATTGTTCACACCACTTGGCCGGGGTGCTGAAGTCTATGCAGAGGTCATCGCGAAGAGACCTCTTCCGCGAGTGATTCGTTTGAGTTGTCGAACGGTGGCGTTGGCAGGTTGCACCTGTTTGGCAATTTTCGTACCAGGATTTGGTACGTTATTCAACCTCGTCGGCTCTACTATTGTCATGTTCCTACAAATTATCTTCCCAGTTACCTTCTTTGTGTGGTTGTCTTACATTGGTAATAAAAAAGGTGAAGACAGCGATGATAGTAGCAGCGACAAATCTTTGTTACCAGTGAAGACACTATCGCAGAGATTGTTATTTTACGTACTACTACCAGCATGTTTCTGCCTAGGTCTATTCGGGCTGATATTGGGCACGTACCAAGGTATAGAGCCCTTGGTAGAGTGAACATTTTCAAGATCGTTGATTCTGTGGTTACTCAAGTTCATCATTTCTGGCTATGTCTTTATCGATAATGAGTTGAATTATGCAGTGGAGTGGTATTCATAAAAATAATTATGGTAATTATATTGTTGCATTTTTTCATTTTTATTTTTCTCGTTTCGAAATTTGTATCTCATGGGTTATAATGGAGTTTCATTCGTTTTACGTGAAGTGTGAAAAACGCGATATTCGCGGTGATATGCAGTGGTTTGTGAAATATGTTTTTCACTAGTGTTTTTCATATCACTAGGGTGGTGAAACTCCGGTATTATAAAATACACATATAATAGTATGAATTTGGTATAATGATAACCTGGTTTCAATGTAATATAAAATAAATACTAATGGTAGTAGTGATATTTGAAGTGATGAGATTAGTGAATATTTGGGAATCGGCAAAGGAGTGGTATGATTATTATGATAGTTGATTTTGAGATGTTTCTAGTTGCACTGTATCAGTTTGTGAAGATTTTATTTTATGAGTACACATTATAGATAGCTCAGTGAGATAAAATATGCACATGGTCAACTACATGTGTTGGTGACAATATGTGAAAATTTGGAGGAATTTCTCACTGGTTTCTGTGCACTTCTACCCTAATTCGTATATAAACTCGTATAATTTGGTTGAGTTACTCCTGAGCTCAGCAGCTGAGGAAAGCGATTACATATATTCATACTCCAACACTGTATAGGAAACTCTTCTGAGCTCAGCAGCTGAGGAAAGCGATTACATATATTCATACTCCAACACTGTATAGGAAACTCTTCTGAGCTCAGCAGCTGAGGAAAGCGATTACATATATTCCTACTCCAACACTGTATAGGAAACTCCTCAGCTCAGCAGCTGAGGAAAGCGATTACATATATTCATACTCCAACACTGTATAGGAAACTCCTCAGCTCAGCAGCTGAGGAAAGCGATAACATATATTCATACTCCAATACTGTATAGGAAACTCCTGAGCTCAGCAGCTGAAGAAAGCGATTACATATATTCATACTCCAACACTGTATAGGAAACTCCTCAGCTCAGCAGCTGAGGAAAGCGATTACATATATTCCTACTCCAACACTGGTCATACCGCACGGACGGCAACAGAGGGTATTTGGCAGGGGGTAATACTGTGGGGGGCTCTTTAGGGGTATATGGGAAGAAATTGAATATTTTCGAGGAAATCGAAATTAATTTTATGATTTTTCTGTTGATGTTGTATACCAGAATTGGTTATGAAATTTCCGAAAATAAATTAATTACGAATTGATCAATCTGTAATTTACTCAATTTTTCGCAGAAATTTTGTGAAAACTGTTGGAAAAAATTTGGTAGAATCTGGTTTCAACGGAGTGATGGGATCTCTCGAAAGGAACTCATTTTTCCGGAAAATATATTCCATAGAAACGTCTTGTTTTTAGTAGGAATTTTGGTGAAATTTTTCAGTGTTTTTGGATGTGAAAGCGGAAAAAATGGAATTTTCTGGGAAATTTTTTCTACATCGTTATATTTTCCACGTAGTCAGTTATGATGTTTCAAGTGGGAGCTCCTCACACGAGGAGTTTGGTCGTCAGCATATGGTGTCTAATCAGGGGTGTTTGATCGAAATGGATGTGCTCAGCTATGCAGTGTGGTTAGCTCTTACTGGGGAGAAAGGTCCCGGGTTCGATTCCTGGTCGGAGCATTGAGGAATCCTCAATGAGGATATTATTTTTAGGTTGATTATGGAGAGGTATTTCCAGAATTAGCATTGGAGGAATTATCAAGCGAAAATTAATTTAATCGGGATTGCATGAATAGTTCGTCGTCACGGGTAACTTATCGGAAAAATTTTGTGGCGCGCGACAGATTTTTGTTGAGGTACACTACCAGTGTTGTTCCCTCTCAACCGCTCTGATAGTCTTTGATGTTTTCGCTTCGCTTCGCTCTCACATTGAGGATATTTTCAGTAGAGGAAGATACTCGAGTACGCACAGCGAAGAATTTTTGAATCCGCGTTAAAAGATGCATAGGAAGTGCGGAGAGAACGGTTATGCAATGCGTAATATGCATATCTAGATTTCAACTAGAGAGTAATAAGGCTATAGATTACGTGGTATCAATCGATCGAATAAAGAGAATATTAGCATGGTCTCTGGGCAAGGGTGACACTCACAAATTGAGGAGTGTGGTGAGTTTTCGCTCTATCTGTGCCATATACCTACACCTAATCAGCGTTGACAACAACATCATCAGTTGATTGATCACGGCTGCACTGCCCCTCCATCATGCTCGTCCCCCCTCACCCCTTGCACACTGTTGGCTTTGTCCAGGGGGTGCGGGGTCGAGCACTCGAGTGATTTGTGCGTCTCGATCAGCTGTGCCGTTTCGCAGCACTGACGGTTCGCATGTGATCTACTCTGGCATTAGCTGACTTCTGTAGCTGCATCTACCACTGTTCGCAAAGTCTTGTTATGTTGATACTGACCAAGACTTTTTAACATTCGAGTTGTAGGTGTTGAGCAAAATATTTATTTTCACGACGACTTGGTGAACCCTGTAGTAAACTACATGTGTTGGTGGCAATATGAAAATTTTGTGGAAGTTCTCGGAGATTGTTGTTGTTGTTGTTGTTGTTGGTTTCCGAACACTTGTACTCGAATTCATGTGTAAAGCTGTATAATTAGCATTGGAAACTGCTGAGCTCAGTAGCTGAGGAAAGCGAACGTATATTCCTACGTGGTCGTATTTTTTCTTGTGAATGTTTTACTCGAGTTATCAGTAGGATCTGGGATGCTGGTGGTAGTTGAGTGTCGTCGTGTTGATGTTATCATCATCTGCATGGATTGCAAGTTTACCAAGCTCTCTAGGACTACGGTGTTTGCTGACCCAGTGGAGAGGGCCCAAAATAGCACTGCAAAAGTAATAAGTACTGGATTTGGGTTTCGGGGGGTTTATATTCTGAATATTTGGAAATATATTTCGGTGGTATAATCGGGCGAGTCGGCGAAACTGGATGTCACAATATCAGTGCCGGAACGGTTTCGAAAGGCCCGACCCCCATCTGTGTTGTTTTCTGTTCTCTCTTGAAGGGAAGGGAAAATGTGTTGTGGTGTAACAGTTACGACAACAGTGAAAAAACCACTATTTTGTGACAACAAAATAGTGGTATCTCTTCGCATAGTGATGCTCCATTCCTTATCACTGGACTTGCGAGTATATCTAGTTGATATTTAACGCAAGTGATGGTGTTATGTTTTATAAAGTTATTTTATGTGAGTAGTGAAAGAACTGATTCTCAACAAACTCACCTTTTTGCGGTAGAATTGCATATGAATACAACTACTTGCGACGCTGTGTTGTCCTATAGAGTGTGATGGTAGCCCTTCACCTTATATGGAGGTTGCTGATCCTGGTTGTTGACGTTTTCGCTCAGGCATTTGATCCGAACATGGAAGGTGAGGGTTGGAGACATGGTAGAGATAATAAGTGGAAAAGACAAGGGAACTCAGGGGGAGATCCTACAGGTGTTTGGGAAGTCTACTGCTGTTCCTTTCGAGTGGTTATTGTTGTTGTTATCAGACTGATTACCGTCGTAACATGGTGAAGGTGCGAGGAGCTAATCTAAGACGGATGAAGGATAAGGATGGAAATGATTATCAAATTGAAAAGAAGATTCATTACAGGTGTGTGTGATCATCGCTGATCCAGTCGGGGTAGTATCATGCTGTGGAATAGCCGCGCCCCGTGGGATCAGTCTGTGGTTATTGAAATCGGCTCCTCGAGTGCTGATGATCATCTAATATACTTCATGCATGGTGATTTTCTCGTGGTGTGGTAGAGATTCTTGCCGTGGTCATCACCTCATCAGTAAAGCACTACTCAATGATGGGTATACTATCAGCGTCCTAGCCTGGGTGAGAAACGAACCCTCAGGCCAGGAACTTGAGTTTGTGTGCAGTTGGATTTCCGGGAGTGTGTTGGTATGAGGTTGTCTTCAGTAACGTTAACTTACTCGATCCGGTATTCAAGAAGCCAACAAGAGTGGACCTGAGATGGACGGAGGATGGGCAGTTGTGTAAGGATGAATGATAATCACTTTGGAAAACGATCTCGGTGGGACTCGAACCCACAGTCTTTGGTTCCGAAGACCAACGCCTTATCCATTAGGCCACGAGACCATGAGTATTATAAACAACTGATCGCTACACCCTTGTTCGAATTATCTATTTGGACACTTCCTTACCTCTGCAGTTTGGGAAGATGTGCACATGGTCAACCACATATGTTGGTGACAAGATGAAATTTTTTAGGAAACTTTGGGAAACTTTCATCGATTTCTGTCGGAGTAATAAGTGAGAAAACTCCTGAGCTCAACAGCTGAGTAAAGCGGACATAAATTCATACTCCAACACTGTATCTCGGGAATCTATAGGTGTTGCACTCAAGAACGGCTTATAGCGAATTCCGCATATATACGAGCCGTGGAGTTCATTGGAGTTTCACGGCCACCCTAGTGATATGAAAAACACTAGTGCAAAAATATATTTCACGACTACTGCATATCACCGCAAATATCGGAATTTTCACCGAGTTTCACGCCATTTCTCGTAAAACTCAATTGAGGTGCTCGGCAACTCATAAAACCACTCAGATTGTACATCCTTTTTGTGGACTCTGTTGTATTCCTTCTGATCAGTTCGCGTGGCGAAGCAGTCAGGAACAGTGATACCGTTTCCTGATCGATCGAGTCTGGTGGCCGACTGGTCTGATTGTAAGTATAAACGCTGGTTTAACATCGAGAAATCATCCAGAAACCTATAATTTTCTCATTTTGAATTTTCCACGTATGGCTAGGAACACATTCTTCAATCAGTTTTTCAGCCCATTGTTATCAAACTCTGGGAAATGTTATTTTCTAAAGCTGAATAGGTTCCTGGTTCTCATCGAGTTGTTGTGTTAGACAAAGCTGGCCCGAAGGACACACCACCAGAGATCGCGATGGAGAAGTCATACAATTATAAAGAGGTTCATCGGGAAGGTGGCGCGTATGAAGATGTGATGCTTTTTAGGATGTCCAAGCTATGAAGATCCTACGGCAAACCATGAGTAAATACAACACGGATATCCAGTCCTGCTAGTGGTCGTTTCTGAGCTCTTGAGTGTTTACTTGGGAGCCTGACTCGATTGATATATAGCGGCTTTGTAGACCGTCGGCATTGCAGTTTCACAACCCGTTTTACGTGAAGTGGCGTAATACTCGGTGAAAAACACAATATTCGCGGTGATATGCAGTAGTCGTGAAATATGTTTTTCACTAGTGTTTTCATATCACTAGGGTGGTGAAACTATAATATTCCTGGTGACGCCCGATAGAGCTAATTTTCGAATAAAAACAACAACAGCAAGTGAATACAATAATCTTGGAGTTGGTCGTCTATTACACATAGTTGTTTTTTCTGCATGTCAAAGTCGATAGTCTGTCGGCCTTTGATGCTGCACGCCCGAGTAGTGACGGGTCTATGGCCGTCAGTTTTTTCTAGGGGGCATCACCTCGGGGTGGTTCGCTTCTCACGAAGGCGGCACTCCTCGACACCATCAGTGAGGATAAAGGACGATAGCGATGGTGAAGAGGATCCTAACAAGAAGAATAAACCTCCGAGTTATGGTAGGTCGCTCTTCTTTTTTTGGAGTTCTTCGTGTCCTACAGGGCGCCCTAAGGACAATGTGCTATTGTCTGTAACTTGCGCAAATTCGATGAGTTTTCCAGTGAAGCCCATTAGAAAGATCTTGGCGAGAGCTTGTCAATGGTGTCATTGGATTCTAAATAGGATTCGGTCCTGCCGAGCTATCCACAATTAAAAAATGCGAAATTGCTCCTCAAAATCCGCGCGAAAAATTCGAAGCCGATTTCGGGGTTTAGAGCAGCCTGTAGTGCATACAGAAGGTGGATATCCTGTTTTTGATCAGGACCGCGTACCAAGACAGATTCGGAGTCGACAGCAGCATGCCTAACCGCCGCCAAGGCATCATCCTTTGATGTTGAGGGCACCCTTTCAGTGTCGGTACCCGTGGCTAGCAGGTGAGCATTATCACTTACCAGTCTACTACTACTACTCCCTAGAGTGTCCCATCATGGCATGGTCATCGACTCGGCATCAGAGGCTGTAGATGGTGAGCTCATTGAAGAGAACCTGATGCCCGCTAAGGACCAGAAGCAAGGGGAGAGGGTCTATGAGGTGGACACTCGAACAGCTGTATGTGTCCATCGTGGTCATTGCAGACATCAGCAAAGTCCATGCCGATCGACCGCCGTGTATGGCCTATTGCGCTGTCAACCGGCCTTATGGGAGTTTCTATAGGACTAGTAAGATCAATACAATCCTGAGATGCTCCTATACCGATGGCCTCAGGTCCAGCCGGTCCTCCCACTACTAGCGACCTCCCTTAACATCTCTACCGCTCAGTTTGGTCAAGTCATTGCTGTGGTCGGGCTATCACGGATTTTCTGTAAATTGGAAAGTAGCGCGCGCCCAGATGATCGATTATTCAGGCACTATCCCTACCTCTATCCTTGCTGATGTATCCGGTCGACGGCCTCTCCTCGTCTACGGCGCTGCGGCATCGGCCTTGAGTATGGCCGGCTTGGGAGCGGCATCTAGCTTCAATCAACTATTGTAAGTATTAGTACAGAGTCCATAGTAGTATTAGTACAGAGTCCATAGTAGTATTAGTACAGAGTCCATAGTAGTATTAGTACAGAGTCCATAGTAGTATTAGTACAGAGTTCATAGTAGTATTAGTACAGAGTCCATAGTAGTATTAGTACAGAGTCCATAGTAGTATTAGTACAGAGTCCATAGTAGTATTAGTACAGAGTCCATAGTAGTATTAGTACAGAGTCCATAGTAGTATTAGTACAGAGTCCATAGTAGTATTAGTACAGAGTCCATAGTAGTATTAGTACAGAGTTCATAGTAGTATTAGTACAGAGTCCATAGTAGTATTAGTACAGAGTCCATAGTAGTATTAGTACAGAGTCCATAGTAGTATTAGTACAGAGTCCATAGTAGTATTAGTACAGAGTCCATAGTAGTATTAGTACAGAGTCCATAGTAGTATTAGTACAGAGTCCATAGTAGTATTAGTACAGAGTCCATAGTAGTATAAGTACAGAGTCCATAGTAGTATTAGTACAGAGTCCATAGTAGTATTAGTACAGAGTCCATAGTAGTATTAGTACAGAGTCCATAGTCTTCCTATAGGTTTTGGCGTCTACTAGGTGGTGCTGCATCAGCTGGTCAGATGACCGGAGCCCACCTCTATCTAGCTGATATCTCCCAACCAGTAAGTGCCTTCATAACTTGCTACCACTCTTCTATGCAGGAGAATAGATCCCGTACAATGGCCCCTGTGGTAGCAGCATGGGGTGTCGGCTTTGCGGCTGGGCCGGCCCTTGGGGGCCTACTGGCTGAGGCCTTTGGCACACAGATGCCCTTCTATGGTCAGTACGACCGAGCGTATGTGTTGGCTCTGTTCAGCTCAGTTTATATGCGAATTAGGGTAGGAGTGTACAGAAACCAACGAAAATTTCTTAGGAACTTTCATATTGTCACCAACACATGCAGTTGACCATGTGCGTATTCTCTAATCGGTGCACCCCTTGACGATATTCATACTCAACGACGTGCTCTGCCGAGTCGTAGGAGTGGCGAGTTTTCCAGTTGTAACCACATATTTGTGAAGGATCTCATTTTAGTGACAAGAAGTGGAGAATAGTGAAGAGGCAAAACCATCGAATGGTCAACTACATGTGTCGGTGACAATATGACAATTATAAGGAATTTTTCATTGGCTGCTGTATACTTCTACTCCAAGTCGTATATAAACTCCTATAACTAGTGTGTTAACTCTCCAGACCGAGCCTAGCGGTCTTCTTGTCATCAGGTACAGCAGCGGTGATTGCCGCGGTAGCCGCTGTGAATCACAGGATGCTCCCTGAGACCCATAAAAGGTCGGTGTTGAAGCCCTCTTTTATCATCAGGTTGATATCTATTCAGATCATTGGAGTCCAACCGTAAAGACCGAATACCACTACGAGTTACTCTTGGGAACTACCGCAAGCTCCTTGAGCACCCTACTATACGTCAAGCCAGTTTAATAACGGGCACGTTTTGGTTTATGCAGACTGGTGGGATCGAACCTGCGCCCTTTGTGTTCATCCTTTTCATCAGGTTGTCAACTGTGCCTGCTACCCCTACTGCTGATCCAGGAGTTCTCTTTCAGTGCGGGGGGCGTCGGAGTCGTCTATGCTACCCTGGCCGCCACCGGAGCTCTCCTGAGTCAGCCCGCTGCGTAGGCTGCCCACTGTAAGGCTGGCCTCGATAACGCTCTTTATCAGGCATATATCCGATAGAGTCTCTCGACGCTCTTGCATCGTCCCTGGCTCACTACTCGTCGCAGCGTCAGTAGCAACACTACCGATTGCAGCAGCTGCAGGTAAGTCGCTAGGGACCATCAGCTTAACATTGCCCTCAGGGTCGACTCCGTTGCTCTACTGCTCACTAAGCGGTTGGGCGGTGGGCTCAGCGCTGGTCGGTACAGCCCCAACGGCGCTCGTGGCCGACTCGGTGAACGAGAAGGAGCGGTAGGTCCATTCTTGCTGATTCATCCTTATCAGTGCTATTCGCCTGAGCGCACGGGTGAATAGCATTATTGTATGTTACTGTTACAACGATTTACTGTTACTGAATAGTAATAGTATACCGTTGTAATAGTTGTTTACAATTGTTGTTATACTATTATCACCAGGGCGAGCGCGCTGGCGCTTCTACGCACTGCACAGGATTTTGGTGGGCTCGTGGGCCCTCTGGCACTAGCCTGGGCGGCTGATATGTAAGTCATCCGTAAAGGCGTTGTGTCGTGCAGGTCTTGTTCAGGTTTGGTATGGGAGTACCGCTTTGGTCGGCTGCCGCGGCCGTTTCGGTCGTAGCTTTGCGTTTCTGGACGAAAGTAAAACGCTGATGGGCGATCACTGTTCGTTTTTTCCTTCTCTTTGTGCATCATTGCTTAACACTACAGACTAGTGTACATTTCGCGGTTACGGTTGGCATTTCCCAATTCATCAAATGCTGATCTGATCTCCCACTACTGTACTCAGTTTTATCTCCGACATGGTCACATTGATAGCAGTTTTTCTTAGAGGTTAGTTTCCATACCCAATCTTGTTGAATTGTGTTTGAAGTTCACTGTATCATAGTCTGTGATCTCATCGAGTACACTTCTAGCCGAATTCCTACGTAATGGAAACTCCTGAGCTCAGCCGAGGATATTTTACATATATTCCAAACTGGAGATGATAGACTTGCCTAAAACCCAATGAGGAAAGATGATCAGAATGGACTCCATACAAAACTACGCAGTATTTCTTGGCTGTAAATAACTTTCAAGTATAGGATTGTTCGGAGGCCAATTAGGACTATTTCAACGACTGATATTCTACCTTATGGTGTATACCGACCATTCCGTTGTATTTATGACAATAATTAGCAGGCAGGCCTTGACAGGCAGTTGTTGACATTTGAGAATTTCAAGTTGAGTTCCACTTTCACCCACGGGATTTGTTTATCAGGCAGTTTTGGAGTTCTATCAATATTACCAATTGTTCCTTTTAACCAACGTTGTATTTGCATTCGGAGGTTTAAGTTTCCTCAACAGTTCAAGCGACGACCTTTTCGGACGTTGGAAACCAACTAACATCTCGCGATGCAGGCGAATACTCCCTTATTAAAGATTCTCTACTCGGTTTTTCGATCGCTTTTATCTTGTGCCCTGGTTAGTAACGACTTCGTATCGATTCACACAAAGACCACCAAGAATTACCAAAACTATAACACACTGGAGTATACAGGACGAAACCAAGATAGTGTCACACCAAATAATAATTCTATTGTTTCTTCTCATCATCAGCAATTTTAACCTTCCTCTCAGCAGCCTCAGCCTCATCCCTCTCCTTGTCATGTTTCTCTTTACGGAGCTATATCAAAGGACCATGTGTCCATCATCGTATCACTAACAACTCACCCATTCTTTCTCCTTATCGGCTAGGCGCATCAGTCTGGATATGTCCGTGTAAAAAGGAGTACATTCCTGTCCCTATAAGAGTTCGAAAGTAGTGGCGGCAAAATTAATGAGCATTGACGTCGCTCCTTCAGCGACTACTTGAGGTTAACACGCCTTAGCCAAATGATGGGAACGAAACTTTGAGAAAATCTCATCGTCGTTCGCATACCTCGAAAAAACATAGTAAAATTTCACAGTAGAAATTGTGAAAACTTACCACAGGACGAAAAGTGCCAACAGCCACTCTCTCGAGGTCTTCATTTTTGAGAACAACTACATCGCCCCAGGCTAGACACGATAGCACTTGAATAGTAGAGAAAACGACCACGTATAGGAAGAAATATGAACACTACTGAAAAATGCAAAACGCAAAGACCGATTCGGGTTCATTGGTTGAAATTATAAAATAATCGTATATTTAAATTTTCTCATACCACTCCTCGCCCAAAAATACCCCCATGGACGCAAGTCGAGACGGTGTTGAGGACAGATGCAATTGAGGTAGGAACGAATAACAGTACAGTAGGATATGGTCGAAGACGAACACTTTGGCTCACACATCTGAGAAAGGTCTACTTGGTAGGGAAAAATATTAACATACCACATTTCCACCACATCGCGAGTATATAAACCAATCTCAATACAAGAAGCATCGCTAGTCATCATCATTTAACACAACAAGAGGAACGAGGCGACGACGGCGGCAACAACAAAAACTGAGCACGAGGAAATAGACAAGTTCAGTCGTCAAAGAGCTTCTCATCTGGCTGGTGAGGGATCCGAGAAAGCCGACAAGCACGATATGACATCATCAGGATCATAGACACGATCGTCCAACGGGACCTCGTCACCCACACTAAGTTCGTCATCGAAAGGCGCAGGTTCAATTCCCACCTGCGCATTTTTCTGTTTTTCTTCTTCTTTCGGACTACTACTCGTGTCAGTCAGTGCATCATCAATCTTCTCTTTAGCAAATACCCTCTTAAGAGCTCTCCAAAATCTATGGCTTTTCACACCAAAGTCCCCCGTACCGTCGCCGCTCGAAATCGACCTTCCAAGATCAGATGCAGTAGAGGCAGTCTGCGTCCCTTCCGACTGATGACCTCCATCGAGCTCATCTAAAGAATTCTCATGACGATCAGCCGCGTGCCATTGCTTCCTCTTGGATGACGATAATGGCGATGACGACGTGGACGTGGACGTCCGGAACTCCATAAGTAATAAAACAACAACCTATTCTTTCCAATGAATATTGGAATTTCATCACCCTAATGATATGAAGAACACTATTGAAAAATATATTTCACGACTACTGCATATCACCGCAAAAATCGCGTTTTTCACCGAGTATTACGCCACTTCACGTAAAACGGGTGATACTCCAGTGACAAAACCTATGCTGCCCAAACCCCCCAGCACAAGACCTTGCTGAATGACAGTGTAAACGACGTTATGGGGCCAGTAGCAACTACAACCCCCCTGCTCCTGTGATCTTCTTTTTATCCATACCCTTCCTTATACGCGCTAGTTGTCGTTTGGTCTCGGAGTTGGGCAACTCATCGATGTTATAGTACCCTGGTGCCAACTCTAATAACCATTCCCCTTTAATCTGATCATACAAGAATACGACTAAATTATCATCACAAATCTCAAATGGGGAGGGGGAACTAAGCACATGGTCAACTACACGTGTCGGTGACGATATGATGATATTGAGGAACTCTCATTGGTTTGTGTACACTTCTACCCGAGTTCCTATACTTTTACTATGGTGGAAAGCTATCACATGTCATGTTGGTTGATGAACTAACATCTACAGAGACCAGTAATCAGTCTATCAAACCTCGATGGCCTCAAAATGACCAAACGCATCCTCCGACTTAACACTTCGGGAGGTCCGTCGATGCCATACCATCACCCTTACAGAGCGAAAAAACGGCAGATACGGCAATGGAGGGAATATATGCACATGCTGTGCTGATGATGATGATGACAATATGAGAATTGTGAGGAAGTTTTGAGGAATTCTCACTGGTTTCTGTACACTCCTACTAGAATTCCTATAATCACTACGGAAATTCCTGTGCTCAGCAGCTGGGGAAAGCGATTACATATATTCATACTCCAACACTGTATAGAAAACTCCTGAGCTCAGCAGCTGAGGAAAGCGATTACATATATTCATACTCCAACACTGTATAGGAAACTCCTGAGCTCAGCAGCTGAGGAAAGCGATTACATATATTCATACTCCAACACTGTATAGGAAACTCCTGAGCTCAGCAGCTGAGGAAAGCGATTACATATATTCATACTCCAACACTGTATAGGAAACTCCTGAGCTCAGCAGCTGAGGAAAGCGATTACATATATTCATACTCCAACACTGTATAGGAAACTCCCGAGCTCAGCAGCTGAGGAAAGCGATTACGTATATTCATACTCCAACACTGTATAGGAAACTCCCGAGCTCAGCAGCTGAGGAAAGCGATTACGTATATTCATACTCCAACACTGTATAGGAAACTCCCGAGCTCAGCAGCTGAGGAAAGCGATTACGTATATTCATACTCCAGCACTGCGTTCGCTTCGCCCCAGTACTACCGTCATAACAGTTCTTATATAATTCTTAGCGGTCAAGACCAACTCATGGTAGAGTACCCACTCCGGTTTATGCTGAATCACGGTAGACGGATGCAACATCACCTACACATACAAGAAAAATACCCCACCCAGGAATCGAACTCGGGACCTCCTCCTTTTATTATTACAACTTGATGCTCTCGAGTAGTAAGGTAAACCCCAGCCTTCTGCAGATGAGCCACTTGCATGAAAAAACCAGAGAGGATACACTTTCTGATATTATTCGTGAAACTGTAAAAATAATAAAAACTCAATATCGTCCTTCCCGAAGACCCCCACTACTCCGGATGGTTTCTAGCCAAGCTCAAGGCCTTCAACCCGACTCTGTCCGTCAGCCGCTTCAACTGCGCCCGGACGTTTTCCGCTGACTTCATCGTGCGATACTGAGGAGCATGATAATTTCGTGGCGCGTGACGGTGGAATGAGCATTACGTTGATATAGTTATCCCAACACCATTGCGACATCGCTCTCTCAACGCCGTTGCACTGCATTTTATAGGCGATATAAGCGTCGTATCTATATTTGATAGCAGTACCCGAATTTTCATACCACACCTTTCCCTACGCCTGCATCAGCGTGAGATGATCCCCATCCATATGCACGAACTTCTGCTTAGCCGCATCGGCCTCCTGCTGGGCTTCCTTGGGCCTCAAGAAGCACTGTGGTACCGAGAGCATCGCTATGATGGTCAGCGCCTCCTCAGTGCAGTGGAACCTGATTTCCTCGAGGTGTGGTATGACATATGAGCAAATCGGAGCCTGCTTACCGGCCACTTCTGAGTAATACCGCAGCCATTTGAGGCTCCACTGGGAAGTCTGCCATGGTCCTGCCGAACTCAGTGAGGTCGCCCTCCTCATCGAGGGCGCCTAGATACACGAGCGTCTCCAAAGCTCTCATCATGGTCTCGGGAGCAGGAGGGTCCATGAAGTCGAAATGGACCTGAGGAGGTCGCAGGTTCGATTCAAGGACCCGACATTTTTCCATGAGAACAACTCACGAGATCGTCTATCCCAAGCTTCTTCAACGTCAAAACGACGGATGATAGATTCGATCTAAGGATCTCTGGGAAGGTCGATGGCTGCAAGTCACCATAACTGTTAGGCCAAATTTCCGACTGCTCACAACCCTTTCTTATAGACCTACGCATTTTCCGTATAAAGACGGAAGCATTTGCCAGGGCGTGTACGACCAGCTCGACCCGCCCTCTGCTGCGCTGACGCTTGAGAAATCGGTGACACCAACAACGACTCCATCCTTGTGCGGGGGTTAAACACTTTCTGAAGTGAATACAACCACATTGGCCCTTTGGGAGGATCAGAAACGCCTAAAACCACTTCTCCATAGTTGAGTCGAAAATTCACACACGTCCTCTTCTTAGTTCACGTAGTTTTTCTAGAGATGTATACCTCTCTAATGATCGACTTGATCTGAAATTATTACAGCCCACTACGATGATGACGGTGATGATGCTCACAATCACATGAGCTTCATCACTACTACAGTGATAATATATTATTACATAGTAATATCTCTAAAACGGCATTGCGATATATTTTTGTCTATATTATTTTTATCATACCGTAATTCCTATTCATGACATATAAATACATGAAGACGGTGTATTGGTATATCGTATAGACACCAATGATTAATTCATCCTTCCGTTACCTGTTTCGAGAACCCAGGGTCAACAACATACACAATACCATCGATCGTTATAGATGTTTCCGCCACATTAGTGGCAACAACCACCTTCCGACCAGCCGGGCCTCCTTCGTATCTCGGTGGAGGCGCATCTTCGAATATCTTTTGTTGTTGTCGTGGAGGTAGACTTGAGTATAGGGGGACTACTAGGAGTTCACCATGCTCTCGCATGGTGCGCATAGACGCTGTGCGAAGCTGCTTACAGGCGTTCTCGATTTCCTGAGAGCAAAAAATACCCCCACCAAGAATTGAACCCACACCCTACACAGTGCTAACACGACATCCCACCACTATACCATATACTACCTCCTCTCCTGTAAGGAACAACAGTATATCACCACTGCCAGCCGGCTCCTCCGTATGAATGTATACTACAGTTTGCACAGCGGACTCGAAATAGTCCTTCTGCGACTCAGGAGAATAGAAGATCTCAACAGGGTAGGTTCGGCCAGGGACCTAAGCGTTACATTTGGAGACGAGTTGGGAAAGGAGTGGTATGAAATACCTTCAACAGCGGAGCGTTGTAGAAGTACTTGCCGAATGCCTCTGCTTCCAAGGTAGCACTCATCACTACTACTTTCAAGTCGGGCCGATTCGGAAGGATCTACCATCAAAATGCACCATGGGAGGATCGAACCCGGGACCTACCTCCTTGAGCAGACCGAAGAGCACATCAGTGGCCAGAGTCCTTTCATGTGCCTCATCCAGCATTATAACGTTATAGCGACTGAGCTTGTTATCTAGCTGTGCCTCTCGAAGGAGCATACCATCTGTCATATACTTCAGCATTGTATTAGGACCCGTCTGGTCCTCAAACCTGAACATTACCACTAACATCACTGAAGTGTACTGGGATATCCGTACTGCGCATATCGAACCCCATTACTACTACTACTATTACTATAATAGTAATACTACTACTACTACTACTACTACTACTACTACTACTACTACTACTACTACTACTACTACTACTACTACTACTATTACCTGATAGTAAAACCGACTTGTTCCCCCAGTGTAACATCCATCTCCTGAGCAACGCGCTGTGCTACACTCATAGCAGCAACTCGACGAGGCTGCGTACATGCAATCTGATCATCATCAACCTCCAATACCACAACTACTACTATTATCTCATTTTACCATTTTTCCATCAGAAGCATAGCCAGCCTCCAACAGGAACTGCGGCATTTGCGTTGTCTTTCCCGACCCCGTCTCTCCCACCAGTAAAGTGACTTGTGATTTCTTCACCAATTTGAGGAAGTCTACTTTTTCCCTCCAACACGGTAGTTGCTGCCTCTTCTCGAGAATATCATAGTACTGCTTCGAATAAGGCGCTCCCGTCAACGGGTTGGTCCCCTCGGGAACATCAACGACAGCGGCGGCCTCAGGATCGGCTGCTCGATCCCAGTTGGAAGACCCTCTTCCCACTAGTCAAATCGGCGCCCTCAAAGCCTCGCTTTAGGTCCACACGCGTACGCATATGGAGAAAACAATGAACAGGAAAAGCTGCTGATGAATTTCATACCAAAACACAATACAATTAGAAGTACAGAGAATTCATCATAATCATGAATCGTCAAATATCTTTTCCCCACCGCCACCCTTCAGCAGTTCTCTTCCATTTTATATCATCATCACTAGCATCAAGACAGCTTTCCAGCGACACGCCATGTAGGGCTATTCCCAACACTGAGGGCTCCTCGGTGGCAGCAGAAATCGACATCCCCACGGGAGGTCGCACTGAAGTGACTATACCATCCCACTGATTCAACATGATCATCGTCAGTTTCTCCACCACGCTATCATCAAGCCCTTCCGCACTGCCAACAGCTGCCAGCAACCTCCCATCACCTTCGCTAAGGCATACCGTAATAGTGTCACTTCGGGGGTACTCTAGCAACCAGAAGACCCCGGGTTCTAGGAAGGCAGCTCGCATTCTAATAGCGAGGTCAGAGGTCGCTATAGACTCCCTCGGTGATAGTATATGAAGCTCTAGCCCTTCCAGAGGTTCCTTATCCAACATCACATACTTGTATTTACCTCGGTACTCCTGAGCTCTCCTGAGTGGCCCGAATACACTGTGGTGGTTGATGCCACTCAGAGCAGTTTTACTCGACTTGATATCAGCCCTCTTGAGAGCCAGCTCTACGAAGTGGGCCAAGTCGACTACTATGCTCCTAACTGTGGCTTCCTCCTCATGCATACAAGCACAGACGTAACGATCGGCTGCTACAGCGATACCACATAGTGATGAGTTCAAGGTAAGCACCTCCAAGTCAAAACTGGTGATGAGAGGGAATACACCTGAAAGATATTCGTACAGGTTGACGCGGAAAGGCTACACATAGTGTTCTTGTATAGAAGATACACTTCAGGTTGGTGTGGTATGTGAAATTCGATAAACGTCAAGTAGATGGTATTATACCATACGCGCCATAAGTATAGCAAAGATGCATTGCAAGTTGAGAGGCCAAAGATATTCCAGAGGTCCAAGCCGAAAGATACAAATGAGGTTCATGCACAGAAGATACACATCAGGTTGGATTAATTCATATATGTTATTTGCATAAAGACGCAACGCGAGTTGAGAGGTCAAAGATATTTCAGAGGTCCAAACGGAAAGATACAAATGAGGTCCACTACTCTACCTGTTGCCGCGATGATTATCTTCCAATAGTTTTTAAGAGGATTATCGAATGCTGGGTACAGAACGCAACATCCATTTACACCATTTCCTTCACTCGTTCTATCGAATACGGCTACTACTGCTTTTAGCATCTTATCACAGGTACTGCACATGATGGTCTCCAACTCCTCCAACACAATTCAACAACATATAACATGAGACTTCGAATGGGACAATAACCGACCCTATTCCTGACTTGAATGACGATACTTGACTAGGACCGAATGTAAAGTTTAATCGCAACTCCAACAGACTCACTGAGAGTCGACAACCTCTTCAGAGGAGGCAATTCTGGCTTCTTCCTCCCGCTCTTTATCAGCCTCAGCTTGCCTCTCAGCATTCTTCCGCGCCACTTTGTTGAAATATGGAAGCAACGACAAGGACGCGATAGCTCCAAAGAGACAAAGACCAATCAATACAAGATAGTAGTAATCATAATGAGCTCCTGCCACCGACTCGCGAGTGGGGTTATCTGGTAGAAAATTGGGCAGCCAGGGCTCGGCCAAATCGAACAACACAGCTGACAACGCGCTGGAAATTGCGAAGAAGCACAAGTTAACAGCGGAGGCGACAGCTTTGAGGGAACTCGGGGAGTGGGTGAATGCAATCTCGTATGATGTCGAAATGAGGAAAATCTCACCAGTAGCGATAAACCAGAATTGAGGTACTTGGGCCCAAATCGATACCGTGAATACAGGACGTGACTTAATGACCAATTCCACAATAAGGGCACATAGGAGTGACAAAGCTCCCCAGCAACAACCTATGCAAAACCTTCCCAACACGGGAGGCATCTTATTGTGCTTCCTTAGTAGACGATAAACGACACCATCAACAACGAGTGACATAACGACAACCGCTATTGGATCCACATTTTGCATCATAGCAGGTGGAATCTGCCACCCGAGGGTATTCCTATCCATCTTCTGGGCTTGGGTTAAGAAGGCAGTGGTCATGTTGTTATAGGCCATCACGAAAGGTATGATTAGAGAGAAGAGTGGTATCAACCTCAGGAGTGCTTTGACATCTTCAATGAAACCATCCTTGAACTTGCCACCATTTGACTCTTTATTCTTCTCAAGAGAGCACTTCAGGATAGAGGCCACACCAACCTTCATGATTTGAATAACTGCCGAGCCCTGTGGCTTCGGACGAACATATCTACCCATGAGACCACCACCGACGAAAATAATGGTTGCTATAATGAAGAAAATAGTGGGAAAAAGGAAACTTGCGGTGAATGAGATCTCTTGTAGTAAGATAGGAGTCACAATACCGCCAACAATAGCACCTAGATTGATCGACGCATAGAAATATGTGTAATAACGGGTAATTAGGGACTTGTGGATCTCGGGGTGAAATTGGTGGGCGCCCATAATGTTAACACAGCTCTTGATACCGCCACCACCTAGAGGGATGAGAACCAACAATGATGTGTGAATCATCCACGGCTGATGTACCGAGGGGATACTCGAAATGGTCAGCAGGACAAAGCCACACAAGTAGACCAACGAGAAGCTCAGAATGGTGATGTAGACTCCCAGAATAGTATCGGCCAATGAGGCTGATATCAAAGGGGTCACGTACAAGATTGCATTGAAACTAGAAATGTAAGAGTTGGCGGTAGTATCGGTGTACCCCAGAAATTCCTTTAAGAAAGTCTGGAGATTCGGAGTAAGTCCATAGAATGCCAACCGCTCACACAGCTCTTGTAACAGAACGAATACCACGGCCTTGAACATGGGATTGTCATAGTAATGGTAAACATTACCCGATGGGTCCGTCCAAGAAAGGGATCTACCGTGCTTTACCATGATCAAATTTCAGCAAGTAAGGTTGTACGCGTATGTGGCACGTGAGCAACGCTCATTAGGAAAGCACACAAGAGAGCAAGATCTTTCACGTGAACCACAAGAACGGCATCAACTTTGTGCGGGCCGCTAGGAGCAGGCCATAACGGAGCACTAGTTTACGCCAACTCACCCACTATAGCGAATCGCCATTGGCGATTCCTTGTTCATAGACAGCTTAAAAACTCGGTGACTTCAGTTATACGGCCTAGTTCATACGGAAATTGCCAGGCTGGGGACATCAATAACCAGAATTCGTCATCTCTGCTGAATTCGGGTGCTGTGGTTGTTATAGTAAAACAATGACAGTTCTAATCATGGAAGTTCAGTAGACAATGGAATTATTGTGTTTTATCGCAATAGGGACTAGTGATTCTTTGTTGCACGTGTTGGATTGACGCGGATTTCACGAGCGTAGATAGCATTCATGGAAGAGTTGAAAAGTTGTGGTACTCGATCGATACCAAACGGGCAAAGGAATCATGTAACTCTTCTCAGGGACCAATTGTCGTCGTGAATGATCGAACCGTTGATATGGTAGTTTTTTCTCTCGATGGCATCGTCATTTCGTGGCACTCTGAAACTATCCAGAAAGCTGCTGTCCCAAGATTCCCCTTGGAGATGGAACAGGCCATGGAAGGTTAGTAAGGCTCGGAAGCCAGAGCACCATCGGATGTACGGCAGAGAGGTTCTCTCATTGGCCGATAAAACATTGTTGAGGTACACCCTGGGGCAAATGAGGTCAGGCCAGTGATCATTGTTCCTCGGAATTGATGCTGTTTCGGGCGAGATCCTTTTCTCCAACGTGGAATAATTGTCGTTATTTACATAATTAAAATCCTCCTTCGAAGCCCATCGTTAAACCGCTGAATTGCTCGGGGATAGGTCCCTCCTATATAAACTGAATCGGTAATGTCCATACCAGCGTATGTAAGATCTTAATCCTCTGGCATAGCGGCCCCTCTATTCAACAAATAGACTTCTGAATGGTATAGTTCATAGCGGGCATAACGAGCCCTTCGTTTAACAGATAGATTTCCGAACGGTATAGTACTCTGGCATAGAATCGATCCCTGAATAGTTTAGTCCTCTGTCATAACGGCTCCCTATTCAACGAGTAGATCTATGTATGGTATAATTCTCTGGCATAGCGCCCCCCCTATTCAACAAAAAGACTCATGTATGGTATGATCCTCTGGCATAGCGGCCCCTCTATTCAACAAATAGATTTATAAATGGTGTAGTCCTCTGGCATAGTCGCCCCCCTACTCAACGATTAGATTTCTGTATGGTTAACTTCGTAGCAGGCGTAGCGGTCCCCTATTCAACAAATAGACTCATGCATGGTATGATCTTCTGGCATAGCGGCCCCTCTATTTAACAAATAGATTTCTGAATGGTATAGTCCTCTGGCATAGCGGCCCCTCCATTGAGGGTACCCGTAGGAAGGCTATGCTATTGCATAGGCATATGATTTGGATATATAAGTTATGGTGCGGCAGGTATTGTTTGAAATTGGCCGATACTCAATAAATTAATTGCCGTACGACTTTATTGATTCTCACTCATGGTTTACCCCTATCGAGGACATGCAAACGACTGCGCACATTTGTAAATTGGTTCAGGCACACCGCCACCGATTGCCTCATTCATCCAGCAGCTGCTCGAGCTCCAGCCTTCTGGGAGGTATTCTCCCGACGAGTCGCTGCATCAGCACCCCTTCTGGACGAGCGTACGGCGTGCATTGTAGCCCGAGCGCTAGACGAGCATTGGGTCCGGATGGAGAATCCGGCTTATTTCCGACCAAAGGAAGGGAAAGAAGTTGTTGGCTATAAGCAACAGAAGATTATCGAACTTTGTAATAGTAGGCGAACAGAAGGTCGGAACAGCTTTCTCGAATTCAGTATCATCGGTATTCGAAAGGATGGCCCAGGCGCTACCAGAACAGTTACCGCATTACGAGTGTGGACTCTCTCTGGTGGTTATGGCAGACGTACTCTCTCGAAGACTTGTCCCTCACCGTACCTCGGTTCCTGTCCAAGAGACTCTATTTGGCCATATGGCAACACATGCCCACAGGTAATTGTAGATCGATTGCTCGGAGGCGTCGTGACCCAAATCATCATACTTCACCTTGATGCAGCGTTGAACTCGCGTTATGCTAATACCTGTATAGATTGTAGTGAAGCAGTGCCCCTTCTATCGGCCGAAGTGCTTCCCCACAACTCGAGGGGTCGGTGTGATCCTCGGCGACCATCCCCTAGGATTTTCCCCTTCCCTTTTTTACTGTCGAATCATACTGGTAATAGAACAATCAACTCAGGTTATTGAGTGAGACGAGCCTGATCGAATCTTTGAGATTTATAAAGTCGATGGCGAACCACGGTGCTGCCGATCGACCCCTCTGTCACAGGATAGCACGGAAAGCTCGAGCTAACGTGAGCTATTCTCTGCTCATTCCTAGAGTTGATAGGACTTGATCAGGTTAATACTTTGGATACTATATTTGATCTTCGTCTCGTCGTTGATACATTCGTTTTGGTCAACTATCGCGACACTGATCTACTGTCGGCGGTGGCCCAACGGGTATCTCATGTTTTGGGTGGGGACTCAGGGACGGATTATGAAGGGAAGAAGATACCGACGATGTTCACTGCCGAGGATGTGAGGGAACTGATGAGCTAAAACTCTGGTGTATGTACTGAAAATAGGTCGCGGAGATCTTCAGAGGATTTAAACATCTCGAGGTTGAGAACATCCAGCTCGTTGAAGCAGTAAGGGATTGGAGCGTTAACGGGTGAGAGCCTATGGTGCATCGGGAGCTGCTGTAGATGATCTGCTCAGAGTAACCCCACACACGAGCAACGAGGACCGGAAGCTATTAGAGTCATGTGTTGGAAGGGTGTGATGTGTTTCTGGAACGTTTTTTCGAGTGTTAGAGTGTTTAATGAGGGAAACGCCACATTTTAGAGAAAATCGGCATCGTGCATGATGATGAATTATGTTGAGAATTCACTCGGCTCGGTGCGACGGTTCGGATCATCGACCATTCCCGTCGATCATACCGATTCTGAGCGGGCCGATTGGCCACGAGCGATAATTTGTGGAAAACCTTTAATCAGTGTAGTACGGAACCTACTCCCCTCAATCCATACTCATCTTCTTCGAAGTTGGGCCGTCTCATTCGATTTCTTGAGTGGGGAGATGGAGCACGATCAGCTCCATGAAATTATCCTGAGCCTCTTGGAGTAATTTCATCCGCCTGGGACGGCTATGCCAACCGAAGTTATGCCTTAATACGATCAGTGTCTTCATCCGGGGCGGCCATGCCACCCCAAGATATGCCTTGATACGATCAGTGTCTTCATCCGGGGCGGCCATGCCACCCCAAGATATGCCTTGATACGATCAGTGTCTTCATCCGGGGCGGCCATGCCACCCCAAGATATGCCTTGATACGATCAGTGTCTTCATCCGGGGCGGCCATGCCACCCCAAGATATGCCTTGATACGGTCAGTATCTTCACCTGGGGCAGTTATGCCACCCCAAGATATGCCTTGCAACGATAAATATCTCCCTCCGGGCAGCTATGCCACTCCAAGATATGACTTGATATGATCAGTATCTTCACCCGGAGCGGCCATGCCACCCTAAGATTTGGCTTGCTACGATCAGTATCCTCACCCGGGGCAGCTATGCCACCCCAAGGTGTGACTCGCTACGATCAGTATCTTCACCTGGGGCTGCTATGCCACCCTGAGATGTGACTCGCTACGATCAGTATCTTCACCTGGGGCAGTTATGCCACCTCGAGATATGCCTTGCAACGATAAATATCTCCCTCCGGGCAGCTATGCCACTCCAAGATATGACTTGATATGATCAGTATCTTCACCCGGAGCGGCCATGCCACCCTAAGATTTGGCTTGCTACGATCAGTATCCTCACCCGGGGCAGCTATGCCACCCCAAGGTGTGACTCGCTACGATCAGTATCTTCACCTGGGGCTGCTATGCCACCCTGAGATGTGACTCGCTACGATCAGTATCTTCACCTGGGGCGGCTATGCCACCTCATGATCTCCCTTGCTACGAGTAAATATGCCTACTCGCCCGAAGTAACTTCAGTAACGACAAATTGAGGGAATCAATTTCGCTGTTATTAAGACGACCAATTACACTGAGGAAAGGAGGGCCCTCAATATGCCGTATCTGGAGTCGATTCAAGTGCTCTAATTTCCGAGGGCGGACAAAAACTACGAATCAAAGTACGGTCGAAAATCCAAGCTTTCGATCGAGCTCGGAATTCCTATTGCTTGGTGAAAGAGTAGGACGCTCCTCGATCGGAGTGTTCAACTTTTCGAGTTCCAAGGCCCGAGCTCGGAGAAACACAATCGTGCACAGTGCATGGGGAACTGAGACAACAGATCTGGAGCCTCACTGGAAGCAATGTCACTCCTGGTTCTTTGGTTTCATTCTCTCATGTTCCATTCAGTGCCATTGTCGTGTGAAATGGCAGTTGATGACCAAGATCACTGAAGTTAAGTCACTCCTCGATGAGGTCGATGATGGAATGGAGGGAATTGAGGTAGGTTGCGTCACTGGACTCCAGTGACTGGAGCACCTCCCTAGCATCAAATCAATGATGATTGCTCAACTTTATCGTGAAGATCGAACAGTCCAAAGCTCTCTTCTGCGTTTTCCGGATCTTGTTTGTTGTCCTTCAGAAATTACTTTCATTCGACGTCACGACGCAGCCTACGTCATCAAGGAGTTCTGCAGCAGTAGAAGTTAAGAAGTTCTCCCTCAGTCAAATGCTGCATTGCCAAGAGACGAGCCATCCCTTCACTCGCGATGTCGCTGTCACCTGTGAGAATTCAGACGAGCTGCGTTTGGATGTGGATCGGATGAGAACTGAGCTGGAAGAGCTCCGCGTCTCCGTACGGAAAGGTGACGCTCTGGATCGAGGTGTCGGCGATTCCCTGATATCGACTAGGGATGAGTCCACTGCAATGACTGCGCGGAGCAGCGGACACTTGTCAAATGGTAGGTGTCGGCTTGTGCCGAAGATTGCCCTGGGAACCATCGAGGGAGTGATTGACGATGCGGGCCTGGCTGATAGGGTTTTCACTGAGAGCACATCGACCATCACGAACGGCACGAGCGTTTATGATGAAGCATCTCGTGATGCGGGGAGAAGGAGAGATGTTGTTGGGAGTAGCGATGAGCATTGGCAGCTTTTGATGAGGTCGGCGGAAGCCTCAAGGAGAATCTTGCGCAACCGGGCGATCGCAGCTAGCCGGAACCAGCCCCTCATTCTTGATAGTGATGGAGCCCGAAAATACTCGGTCCCTCTCCCGCAGTCTTGCGCTATGCGCACTGGCCTAGGGGTGGGCATCACAGCGGCGGATGTAGGCGTACCCGAAGATGATCGGACCTCTCGATCGGAACGTAGCATGTTACCGAGGAGACCACTTGGAAATACTCGGTATCATAGCATTGATTTCGCCGAGTCGGCTGAAGCGAGAACTGAATCGCTCAGAACGTGGCTCTTCGGGACCTGACATGAAATGCTCATCTGTATCAAGGTGGTGCATAGTACTTCCCACCGTTTTTCTATCCGTTATTCGAACGGAGTTCGTTTGTGTGACACTTTTAGGTTGGTTCATGCTTCATCCGTGGCTCGTGTGATATACCAGGTGACACGTGTATAATTAATGTCCGATCTGTGTGGTTATTATACTCGAGTTTACGATATGTCTGAGGATGCTCGCCGCAGAGTTTTCATTTTCATGGCTCAGACTGGGAGTGCCCCGAAACGCCTTGCAGTTCTGTTATCCGGCAGCGGCAGTACCCTCCAAAATCTCATAGACCGAATTAAGAGGTGGCATTCTAGCTGCTTTCCCGTTTAAGGGTTCAACTACTCCGACGCTTCTCCCGCGTGATGGAATCGTTCCAAGAATGTATCTTCTCGAAAGCGAGCGATCCGAAAAGTGTATTCGAAGCGTGTGAGGCTCAACAGCCTGTAACTCTCATACCAGCGTCTCACGATGCCCTCTAAAATGAAGCTAATCTCCGGAGATCTGATGATCTCTCTTCAGTGGCGGACTTCGGGGTGCTGAGATCGGTGTGGTATTATCATCACGTATCGATGCGGGAGGTCTACAGAGAGCTAGAAATCACGGCATACCAACAGTTGTGGTGGAGTCGAAGAACTATCGTAAACAAATTCCTGATCTCCCCGTCACTCTGCAAGAGATCCTCTGTTTCATCAGGTATTCAGGCATTCAGTGCTTCTAGTAGTAGTAGGAAGACTACACCTGATTGGGAGGCAATGTCTCGGGCGGTGACTGAGGCCCTGATGCCGTTCAAACCGGACATACTCATTCTGGCTGGCTTCATGTGCTTATATCATCTGCCACCAGAGTGGAGGGAGGGCAAATGCTTGAACGTGAGTTTTCTCGTTTGGCTTCATCTCAGACTTTTTTCTGCTGCTCATCGGTTCACATGTGGCCACAATTGTTGGATGAGTATATATGTTCACTGTTCCCAGCAGAGCTCAGGAACTCTTTCACTAATTATCGAGGTTTATGTACGAATTCGGGTAGAAATGTACAGAAATGACTTAGAACCTCCCCCCCCCGAAATTCCGCATTTCAGATTGTCACCAACACATTTAGTTTGCCATGTGCATATTTTCCAACACAACAAGTGTCTTTACGAAGTACTACAAGTATATACGTGCTCCACTAGATACACCCATCGCTCATACCAGCGTTCAGTGGCGAGGGTATGTATGGCAATCTCGTCCACCAAGCAGTGGTTAAGCGCGGCGTTAAAGTCACTGGATGCACAGTTCATTTCGTCACCAATGAATACGATGCTGGTCCTATCATACTGCAGAAGGTAAGTCCTGTTAACCGCTGCTCGAGGATGTAGCACCTTTCAAATGTGTCGCTCGCATCGGGTGTTTCGACCTGTACACTTGTGAGCTACTGTTCGTACGATTTGCGCTCTTCACATTCTCGTTGAGAATCTGCCTCCCGCTCAGGTCTGCGAAATTTCATCTGGGGATAGCTGGGAGGCCGTTCGCGATAAGGTGGCTGTTGCGGAACGAGAAGCATACCCCGCGGCGATCCAACTTCTCGTTGATGGATGTCTGAGAGTTGTAGACGGCATCGTTGAGATTATTGAGGCCCCATAGCAGCCAGTGATCGAGCATGTTTCTACCTATTTGAACCTGCGTGAAGTTGTTAAGCAGATTGTGTGTTGTAGAGAGAACGCATTCAATGTATCACATGGTACCTAGTGGACCTCATCCTGAACATCATCTTCTTTTGTGATGAAAACCGTGAGCAGCACGCTAGCTACGGCTGAGATACTGTCGCATTTGTTATCTCAGCATCCTAGTACTCGGTTATCGGTGAGCTTTCTTCAAAGAGGCGAACGGTGAGTTATACTTGTGCGTGTGAACTTCACACTATAAAGTCAAACTCGTGTGGTATGGTGTGAAACCTCGTAATTTAATACTAGCCTCTGTCGAGCTTGTATCATCACTTCTACTCTCGGTGTTGGGCGCCTGCTTTGCTGACGACCTCATTATATGCCATGATGGCATAAGCGTGCTCCTTGGGCTGGCTTCCAAAAGGACGCGCTTAAACCGATAAACTACATAGGTGTGACCACCCTCCACTAATGAGGTTGATCTTTTCGAGTAGCGGGAATCGGCTGGTTGTCCGTGTACGCATACAACTCTGCGGCAAGGGCTTGCCACCCAAGTGTAGCTAGAACTGCTTCGGCGATCTTGAAATGATTGGATGCACGTATTGATGCTCCTCCAGACTTCGAGAGCGAAAGTTTTTTCGGTCCGAGCCAGCTTGCTCAATTTGACTCACCGTGCAAAATTTGATTCACCGAGCCGCTTGGTTAATCAATTAATTTGCGCGTATTTGACCTGTGATAGGTCATCCATCCCTTCAGCTAACACTTTCACGCCAAAACTATACAGTATTGCGTAGCCATGATGAGTTCCGTAACGTGATGGAATCTGTACTAGAAATGAAGGACTTCAGTTAATCGCAGATCACGTTGGTATACTCAATCCTTTGATCACTCTGTTACTGTGTGAACCTCACGATAGGTGTTAGAAATAATATCTCAGAATGTCTCTGAACATCCTGTTTGTGAACTGATTACTAGTGAGCGTCGCTCACTGAGCGGCCAGAACTCTAGGACGATTTTGACCTCTCAGAGGCATAATGGTAAGAATAGTAAAAGTCTATTTACAAACACAGGCCCGATCGCAGCTTCCCACCCAAAACTCGTTAACTCAACTCGTCCCGCCCTGCCGACTTCATCTGTAGCCATCGGACGGCCATCCTCACATAGTTGAGGATTGCACGTCAAGATGCAGACAATCAGAAACTACCGGGTGGCAGAGGGCGGGCAAAATGAGCCAGCACGCTCACCAGCAACTGACAGATGAGGTAAAGTCTCAGTAGCCTCACAGTAAGAGTTAGGATCAGCAGCAACAACAGCAGCGAAAATACACAGGCTAAGTATAGCTCAGAATAACTAGCTTCGCGGGCGAGCGCGTCACGGGCCAGTGTTTGCACCACTCTACACTCCACAAGCTTCGTGTAGGGTAACATACAAAAACCTTCACAAAACCGTTTTATCACCCATTGTCAAGTTTCGGGCGTGCCAGAAATTCCAGACTCGAATGACAGGTAAGCCGCGGAAGCCAGCTGAGTGGCCGTCAGCTGCAACGATGATGTAGAGGGGTGCCATCTGGATAATCCAACAGCACCAGGGCGTCAGACTCAGGTGTCGGTCGTTTCCGCACATAGTGCGGTTAATGGTTTTACCTAGGCTACCACCCAAACCACTATACAACGAGATATCAAGAGGAATTGATATTTCGCGTGATTTAAATTTCGAAATCAAAATTCTATCTTCGTAAATTACAAGATACAGATGTTCGAAATCAATGGATTCACGGAATCGCCAAATTCGATTTGAAAACACACTGTGATTAACACAGGCTCGAAATCACAAAAGCAAAAAGTAATTGGTCCGATGAGGTCCGATGGTCATTTATTGAGCTTACCCTTCATCACAACCGAGTCATCTGTCGGATAATTCGACTGAAATTCGTGATCGCGAGCTCTGCAATTCAAAGGTTACTACTAGCCCGGCCCTAAGTTTGAGTACAGGCATCGTAGACAGTGACCTCGAATGACAATGTCTCTTTCATTCGTCTTGAACTCCGGTTACGCATGGCTTGTCCCTGTTGATGTCCCCACGAGAGTTTCCCCTTCATACATCGATATGTTCAACGTAACCAATCCTATCACACCCCTGATCTGCTACGGCACTAACCAACAATTTTGGGGTGCAGTGGCCAGTCCAGTTGGGTTGAAAGGTCTGGCGGTCTTCACGGCCAGTCTGGCGTTGGTTGTGCGTGCCAATTGATGTGAAGGAACAGACTGATTCCTATTTAGCGTAAATGCGGCCGGGTTTGGCGCGTGCAGGCCTTTACACCTCCGAATCGGAGGAACTCATATGCTCCTGTGGATAATGCCGCACTCTACTTACCGTGTGATGAAAGTCACAGTGATTAATTATTTTCAGTCAAAATTTTTCCACAGTAATCGATCCATGTTCAGCTATAACGTTGCTGTAATCTTCCTCGCCATCCCCATTCGATCCTTGTGGGTAGACGGAATTGTCGCTAGCCAGGGCTCAGAGCTTCGTTCCCTCCGTGCTCCTGTTGTCGCTGAGGAACCCCCCAATTGCTTACCTGACGTTTCTGACTTCGCGGGCAAAGATTATTGTTGGTTTATCCTGAATGATACAGTCGAACACAAGTGGTCTTCGGGAGTGCTCATTCGCGGTACCCAAGGACCTCTACCTTTTTTCTCTACTCTACAACTCGTACTCATCGTGGACAAGGACTGGCGTCCTTACGATCTTGGCATGTGGGCGTCGGGTTATACTAACCGCTTCTATGCTCTCCCTTCGGGCATGGGAGCCGATATATCCTTCAGCATACCAGAAGTTAACCGTGTCGGTGGAGAAACCTCTGAAAACCGCATGGAGTTATCGTTTGACGTACAACTGTTCACCACTGTGACCATTCCTACCATTGGTCGGGTCAACGCGACGGCGGTGCAGAAAGCTCTTGCCTATGTAGATAAGACCGATGCTGAGAGTGGAGTCATTGTGGACATTACTGCTGTTGGTGAGGCCGACGGAATACACTCTGAGATAATTTTCCATGCAGGCATCTGGGGCAGAAACCTCACATCTTGGCTTTACGAAAGTCGTGTCTATATCCGTATCACTTACAAAAAAAATAACCAAACAATCAACTATGTTAAAAACTCCCCTATCTTCAGCGTGGAGTCCAATCTTTAGTCTTGTGGTGCTTGGAGCAGTGCTCCGACATTATTCATGGCGTTGAGGCATTCTGTGCTGAGAGATTGGCGATTCTGGATCGTACTTGAGTCACGGTCACTCTTTTGAAGCCCATCTTTTTGCCTATCAAATTTGGCGTTTGGGATCGGTGTCCACTACACCTTTTAAAGGCCTATTTTGCGTTTAGTAAGATCAATTCCGCAGGGCGAGCAATCATCCGAGCCAAGATACGCCTTAGTAAGATCAACTTCGCCAGCGCGGTCGATAGAAAAATCAATTTCGACGACACGTGCCATTCGTATAATCAATTTCGCTGGCATGTGTGAAGTCGATTTCGCTGATAGTATATTTAATATACTATATTACACATCAAGTAAATTTTTGTATGCCTTTGTGGCGTAATGGTCTAGCGGGTAACCAACTTTCACCATGTCGCGGGATCCGTACTACGGATTTCGTACCATATTTTCCCTGGCACAAATGGTGGCGAAGCGCCGCCTCGTCTCTCGAGCACCCATGACTTTCCATCCTCTGGCTCAGGTTTTCCACGTGCTCAATTTTCTCTTCCGTGCTTGAACTCTCTGGTGAGCGAAGTTTGCTCGGCTAATTCAGTCTTATCATAGGACTGCTATTCGAGCTGAGACGAGTCAGTCCGATCTCCGAGGATCTCTCAGTCTGTAGATTGGACCGATCTGCAGCCGACCAGGGATTGGCCCACTCTTTCGGTGGGATTGGACGTGCGTTTCCAGGTAGCACAGGTGGCCTTCTCTCAGATCCCCCATCAGCTTGATCCTCCGCTGAGTATAAAACGGTTTCAAGTGTAGTGCTCGGTACCGCTTGAGCCTAATCCAATCATGAATACTGCGTTGGATGGGTGACTCGAGCGATGAATAACTTCACTGGTCTTCTACAGCGGCATGAGTACAAGAAGCAGCTTATCGCTGAATCTTCTGACTGGAGGCTGTCCGAAAACCCGCACATCAGTGATATCATATTGGCCCAGGGTACCCTCGAGGAGGTGTGTTGCAAAGTTATGGCGATAATAGTAAAGTTAAAAAATGCGCGCATAAAACATTCCGTACGATCGACCCCGCAACTATGAACCGGATGAGCTTGCGCCGTATGGAACTTAAGTGCATGAGAGATCTTGAATACAATGTACAACCTCGGAATTGTCCGAGGAAACTAGCCTAAAAATGTCCGGATCGAGAGTTATATTGCCCGAAACATGGTGACAGAGTCAGGAGTTATATGGACAAGGTGCCCGAGT